GGTACCGTGAGCTGCCGGGTGAAACGGAAAGTGAGGTGGGCTGCAGAGGAGCGCTCGGCAGGGCTGGCTCCCTCGCCCTTGGGAGGGCACTGTCACCAGCGCCGCTGCCGCTAGCGCTTGTCTGGGGATGAGAGCGCTTTCGTATTGGCGGGGGGGGGGGGGGGGGGGGGGGGGGGGGGGGGGGACCCCCCCCAAGCTGAACGGGGAACAAAAGCAACAATTAGCTAAAGTCTTCTAGTATGCCTCCGTGTGGAAGTTAGTGGTTGGGAATCACTTAATTATACGTTAGGGGCTTTACTGTGTTTCTCTTAACTTGCCGTTATCGCGCTGAACGTTTGCAGGTGACACTGAGGGGGTTTTAAGGTGAGGACCAGACACTTAATCTGAAGTGAAAAAGAGAAGGACTTGTATGTGACCATAGTTTTGTTTTCACTGAATAGAAATACTTGGAAATAGAGATGCTGAAAGGGAAAATACAAAGAAATCGAAGTAAAGAGGCTCATAAGAGTTTAAACTGCAAGGTAAAGGAGAACGTCTTTGATTTAAATTAACATCTCGTGTATGATGCGTTTCTGGCATGGTTGCCATGAAAGGAAATGAGTCTGCTTGATAAGCACCGTAGTGTCAGTTATGAAGGAGGGTAAGTGTGAAAGATGTAGGAAAGAAAGTTGAAAGAACTAAGTTTAACTTGATAGCAAGATACTGGAAAGATAGCAAGATACTGGAAAGATACTGGAAAAATAGAAAGATAGTGGAGGTGTTGGAGAGTCAGTCAAGGCCAAGGATGAAGACGGGCAGAAAAGCAGGTTAGCTACATTCAAGGTCGATGATTTCTTGAGAAATTCAGGTGCTGTGCTCTGTTACTGATGGGTACTAACCCTTGGGGTTAACTTTTAGATTTCTGATTGATTAAACCCTTGCAGGCTTTGCTTTTGCCCATTCTCCTATCCTCCTGTCCAGAGCATTCATTGGAAAAAAAGAAAAATCTCTTCAGAAAGAGATGATCCGTTCACTGTTTTTCCTTTTCGTAGTTCCTCTTTTGGGACCTTCAGCTAACTCTAGTGCTGACTCCGTTGGTTTTAACTGTAAGAGCCAAGAGTAGTAAGTAAAATACTGCGGAGTTTAGGGGGTTTTAGGGTTTTTTCACTGTTTTTCTGAAATTCTGAAGATATTTCATCAGATGTTTTTAAACTCACTGCTGTTGGAGTTTGCTGTAGAGTCACTGGTGGAATAGTGTGATAAATAGCTGGAGACGACCATTGCAGTAGTTGATGTTGGGAAAGTTAAATTTGCAGCTGTAGTCTAGAACATTTTTTAAGTGATTCATTGAATGGTGTTATAAATCACCAGTAATTGCAAAAGAATGCACTTAGTTTTTCCCAAACAAATTAACTTTTCAATACTAAAAAATACTGCTAACAAAATAATAATAATTAAAAATTGAAACTCTTAATAACATATAAACTGCATTAATTTGTCTTCTGAGAGCCTATAGTGCAGGATTCCATTCTTATTTTGTATACAAAAGATAGAGGATGTGCATTGTCTTCCCTGAACTTTCGCAAGCAATGTGTAAGTCTTAATATTTACTAAGCTGTTTTGATACAGTGCTGCAGTACTCCTGCATAGCTTCTGGGGTTTTTGCAGAAACACTGAGAAAGCATTGCTCCCTCCTCTCTGTAAATCATAATCATTTTAAAAAAATCCAGAGTAAATGTCACATGGCTAGTATGTGTTTCTGCACTTCTAGGCTTTGAAATGTTGTATTGGAGTAACATGGGAAGGCTCTTCTGGCGCAGGAGAAAGTGTTTAAAAATAGTTCACACCTTCTATAAAAATTCCTAGTTCATTGTTGCAAAGATTATGTACAAAATGTCAGTGCTTTTTTTTTTCTTCCTCTAAGAATGCTAGTCAAATATATTTCCAAATTCTGATATAAGTCAAGTCAGTAATACCTTCTACTGAGATATTGGCAACAGAGAGTAATAGTTATGGACTACTTGTGTTCTTTCAGCAGTAATCTTGGGACAATGACAATGGTGTTCCTTTTTTTCCTTTTCCCTCCACTAACCAGAGAATATGGTTGACTTCTAAAGTGAATCTGAATCTGTTGTAGGAGTAGGTGATTACAAACTTGTTTCAAGGGAATACAGGAGAAGTGTCAGAACAGTAATTGCAGCAGCTGTTGGCAGTAGTCCTCTGCCTTCTTGCTTGATCCCTACTTTGTGCTGTGTCTGAGGGAGGAATGAATACTCACTTCCCAAGACTGCATATTTATCTTATTGGCAGCTGGTAATTCCTTTGGAGTCCTGCCTCCAAGTGTTTTCCTTCCAGAATACAGATTGTTTCTGCTCTTCTAAAGTAAAGAGTACTAGAGAAAAGGGCAGATGGCAATTGTTATATTGCCTTCAGTCAGCAGATTCATTGAAAATACAATCTGCAATTCCATTTGTCATTGTAAACGAGTATTGAGAATGTCTGCAGTAAATCAGTTGTAGCAGGTTACTTAGTAGTTTTAATTCTGCGTGGTTAAAATGCTCATAGCAAAAGTTTAAAGTGGCAAGTGATATTGTAGAACTACAGATTTAACACCATGTGGTCTGCAACCTTGCTGAAAGATGAGCCCTTACGGAAGTTAGGGAAGTTGAATGTTGCTGTAACAAATCTCTTTACTCTGAGGTATTTTGAAATTTTTTTGTGGTAACTAAATGGAAGTTCTAAAATACGCAGAATGATACTCCTTTACTCCTGAGCTCTTCAAGCAGCAGTAAATGGTCAACTAGATCTATATTGCAGTCAGAAGTGCAACTAAAATACATGTAGGTAGATCTGGCGAACAGTAGCAGTGAAGGGTGTGACAGTGTGGGTGGGGTTTTTTGTTTGTTTGTTTCAGGCTAGACTATACAAAACTACTGGGATCTTCAAAGTATATATATATATGTATAGATATATATACACACAAACACACACACGAGACAAACTGGGCTGCCAGCCTGTCTATAGTATTACAGCTGTTCTTGCTAGCTGTTTTTATGTATCCTGTAGGTTTCTAAATTCTCTGGTCATGGGGATAGCAATAACATAAGGGTGAGTGTATGGATAAATGCAAAGATTTTTTTGCAGCCGTGTTGCTGGTGTTATTTCTCTCCTATTCAGTCTGCGTAAGAGTCAAAGGAAGGGCCTTAGAGGTTTAATTTTAAAAGTAGGATGTATTTCTAAGTATGGTCTTCAAGATACCTCAGAAGTTATTGTCAAATGGTAGCTTTAATCATAGCTTGACATTTCTAGCCCAGTTTTGCAGACAAAGAAATCTTCTATCCTACTCTTGCCTTCCCAATATTTCTTTAGTAACCTTTACAAACAGGCAGAACGCAAAGATATTTAATGTCTACTAGTTTTGTGAAAACTGGTAACTGGCTGGAGACCCAAGCTAGTGTTTAATAGCTGTCAGTGCATGCGTAACTTGGAAGGAGCCTACAGCATTAATCTGAGTTGTGTTCAATACAAAGGTTGGGGGAAGTGGGACTGCTATGCAAGATTATGGGAGGTGGAATGTGAGGTCTCAGGAGGATTGAAAGGACCAGGGTACTTATGTTACTGTGGTAAACATAATGGGATAAAAGTTGCAAATGGAAAACAAAGTTTCATTATCTGTTCACAAAACAACCCTTTTCTCCATACTAGCAGTAAATCAAAAGGGATGTCTTTGCCCTTTGTGTCTATGCATGCATGCTTTTTTTGTTGCATTTAATTTCAGTATATAGTTGCAAATATGTATTTTTTTTGATAAGTAGCCTCCAAAGATCTTTCTGTCTGTTATTGAAGTAATTGGTGTCTACAAGACTTACTATATTTGTACACTCAAAGTTTTTAGGTGGTCATAATACAGGCTGAGGTTTTCTATAAATTTAAAATGTCTGTAAATTGGATGTTCTAATTAGGTTTTTTCACAGTTTACATTCTAAGTTTTTCACAAGTTTTATGCATGAGTTTTTTCTGGTACCGTGTTCTGTTACGTACCTAAATTTGTTTCTTTTTCAGAGATTGGAATGGGACTAACAGGCTTTGGAGTGTTTTTCCTTTTCTTTGGAATGATACTTTTCTTTGACAAAGCTCTTTTGGCTATTGGAAATGTAAGTTCCTGCTGTTTAGTCTTAGATTCTGCACTGCTTAGAATTAAATATATATTAAAAATAAACTAAATATAGAACAATGTTATCAATTTGAAACTGGATCACAAAAAATACTGTGGCAATTTGGAATAAAGGAAGAGTTATGCTCAGTGATGAGAGTGAATCATTTTTTCTGATTAAAGTTAGAGCAGCTCACATCAATCTAAATATCGTACCTCCAGATCAGGCCTGCGGTATGTTGGTCAGACAAGAAACAGCTTGTTCAACAGTTGTTATGCTGCTGCAAATAAGATTTTTAGATTGGCTGTCATTCCTAACGCTTTCTTTTTTGTGATCTTGTAAGATAACTGTCAAATTTAAGTATCTATTTGGATAAGAATAGTGACGTGTTCTGTACACGCTAGTGAATGTAGCTTAGCTGTGCTTTATGAGGAAAGAGAGCAGTACGAATTGCTGATAGAGTTTGAAGAGCCAATCACCCTTCATAGTAGAGAGATGTAATATCTTCATTTTTTACCAAATCAAAGTTTTTAGTTAAAGTAGGATAGAAGATAAATCCTAGTTCTGGTACACAAAATTTGCAATCCAAAGCAAATATAAAATGACAGGGTGTTTTCTGAATGTGATAATCTCTGGGCCTCTGCTGTTCTCAGCTTTGCCAGCCAGCCAAGAGCACAGCCTGGTAGAGGTTCGCATCCTCTTTTGCTGATGCCTAAAAGTCTGTGGTTAAAACTGATCAGTTTCATTCTGTGGCAGCAGAATCAAATACTGAGATTCACTGAAGGAAAATTTTAGAATGTATATTTGAATTTGGGTTCATTAGTTGAAGCATTATTCTGAACCATTGATAAAGTGCATAGTGGAAGAGTAAAAAATACAATAATGCTTATTTTTTTCTTTTCCTAACGTAAGGTGGAAATATGAGGCCCTGATTAGGGAAAATGATGAAAACATAAGTAGGAAGAGATAATGACAGGCTATATGGTAACCAAAGATAATGCAAGAAAAGATACTATATCCTTACAGAAAGTTTAAAAAAAAAAAGATATCAGAAAGGGGAAAAGGTGGTAAGAAAGTGTTTATTAAGTAACACACAAAACTTAAATTTCATCTATAATCTTGAGTAAAATTCCCTTTTGGGCAAAAGATGTTGCCCAGATGCGTACTTACTACCTGAAAGAATTCAAGTCCTGTTGCTAAAGTACACTAGAAGTAGTTCTAACTAGTTGGGACTAGTGCGATAGTGTTCAGTGTATACTGGAACTAGTAAGTGGTAGAAATACTATACACAGTAAAAAAATCAACCAATCAACCAAAAAAACCCCAAGGAAGATGACTGATAATGCTCTTCAGCTGTTTTCCTTTTTTGGCTTTGCACTGTTCATTGTATCGGTACAAGCTGTTGAAGATGTCCATGGAATAGAACAGAGGTGCTTTTGTAACATGTCTATTCTCAGTTTTTAGGAACTTTTGTATGTCAGTGGTATTAAGCTTCAGCACTGCTTGTGGATAATGATTGTACTTATGTTACAGGACAGATAACTGTTGTCACCAGGTCTTTTGACATGGTTGTTTGTCATAGACCACAAAGGTAGACTCTTTACTCTTTAAGCAGCTGAGAGAAGTGCTTTGAATGCTAGCTACAAATGCTTTAAGATAGACTTTACAAAAGAAAATCACTAGTAAATTCCTTCTCACCGTCCATCTTTTGGTATTAAAAGAAGTTGTGCAAGAAATGCAATCTAATTTTGTAGAATATATGTATGTTTACATCCTAAACTTAGGAATATAATGTAATTTCTTTCTTTGCTTGGTTTTTGTCTTTCTAGGTTTTATTTGTGGCTGGCTTGTCTTTTGTTATCGGTTTAGAAAGAACATTTAGATTCTTCTTTCAAAAACACAAAATGAAAGCAACGGGCTTTTTCCTGGGTGGTGTGCTCATAGTTCTCATTGGTTGGCCTTTAATAGGAATGATCCTTGAAATTTATGGGTTCTTCCTATTATTCAGGTAAGACTTGATTCAAAATACCTTTCTGTATTAGTGTATCTAGGAATAAATGTATTCATTTAGTGTTGCTGCATTACAGCTGACAAAGTGGCATCCTTTAAATGTTCGCTTTTGATAGATTTTATATAAAAGTTGTTGATTTACATTTGCAAGAGGTGGAAAGTTGGTAAGTATTTTTCCAAGACTCCATCTGCTAATGTTTGCGGCATATACCAAACTGATTTTGGTAATGTTGTTTATGTCTAACCAAAGAATTGTAAAGCTTCAAAATATCTGGGAGCCCAAATTGTTAGCAGTGCAAAGTTTAAATATTTCCTCATAAAAAAAGGCAACTTAGATACTTAGTATTTTGGGGGGGGGAGTTTGTTCTTTTCCTTAACAAGTGGGGCAAAATACTTTGTTACAAACGTCCTAGGTTTGTAACCTTACCATTTCATTACTATGGTAGCCCAGTGAAAAGATGTTTTCTGTCATGTTTCATTACACTTGTGCCCTAGTATAGTCAGAACTGCTGGTTTTGGCTAGCATTATCTGGACTGAGTTAAGGAAAGGTGACAATTCTTATTTTTTGAACAGCAATCTTGATATATGTTATAGCTTTCACAAGGTGTCATAAATGCATTTGTAATGGTGCAAGAATTTGACTTGTTACAACCTGTATATCTATATTTTATCTTGATTTCCATGGTTGAAGTTCCATACTTCAGTATAGAACAAAGTACAAAATATGCTAATAAGTGAGAAGGGAGGCTGTTAGTTGTTCTTGGACTTCTGTTCAGATGAAGACTCTTCCACTAATGCTTATTAATCTAATAACAGACCCCTAAAATATTTTTGAAGTGTTCAGCTGCTGGCTAAATAATACAGTTCCTGTTAATCAAAATCAAACCACTGTTCTCATGGCGCTCTTTTTTCCCACTCAGTAAAATTGTATGTTAATCCTGTATTTAGCTTAGATAAAACGTTTAAATATTTTAGAAAAAAATTTTAACTTGGCTTTTAATATATGCTCCTTACTGTTCTACCCTGTATTACTTTGAACTCTATCACTGCAAGTGTTTTGAAAATCGCAGTATTTTACTGAATACATTGTCGCTTCTTGCATGTAGCGCTTGGGTTTAATCAGCCAGTACAAAGCATGTAGAGCGTGTTTCCAGCCAAACACTCCTTCTTTTAAAAGATCTTGAGAGAATTATGAATTACTGTGTCTAAGCAGGTACAGTTACATATTATCTATTGGTGCTAGCCAGGGGCTAGCAGGGTGCAATAATGTTGAAGGCATTGTACAAGGTTAGTGGTTATTCCTAGGTCACTAGGACTATCCCTTAGCCAGAAGAGTATCAACAAGGGATAGATAGTTCCAGGTGTGAATGTTTATCTGATCTGTTTTAATTTAAAACATCTCTAGACCATCTTTTCTAGTTCTTAATAACTCTTAGAATCTGAATCCCTTGCTACAATGTTAGCTAGTTACTACTTCAAAGCTTTTTGTTTTGCTTCAGTCTTGTTCATTTCAACCATTGTCATGTTTTTGGCAACTTGCTCCTTTCTGAAGAAGTTAAAAATGGAGCCTTTCCTCAAGCATCATTTTATATGATTCCTCAGGGTCCCGCTGTTTGGTTGCGTAACAGAAAACTTCCCTGGTTATCATTGGTTTCTGAAGTACATAATTTCTTAGGCGCAAGGAATGCCAGGTCAACTTATGCACCTTTGGATTTCTTAGGGCAGTATGTTGTGAGGATGCGGATTTCTGTGTATCCTAATGGTTCTAGTCATGTGGATTACTAGGACTTTTATATGGAAAACCTTTATATTTATCAAGAGCAATTTAGCAGTTCTAGTAACTTCACTTCAACTCAGACTAAGATAGTACAAATGTAAACCATTGTATTGTACTTTTTTCAGTCTCTTGATTTTTAGACCACTAAACCAGTTCCACTGACTGTTCAGATCCCTCTAGAATCTTTGCTCGTAGGTTGTTGTCTTGCATGTCTAGACTACTTTTGCACAATCACCTTTCATATACCCTGTAGCAGTAATCGCAGAGCCCCTGTTGTCCACAAAGCAACGGTTAGGTACTGGTGACCAAGAACACTTAAACAAAAGACAAGATTGCAAAGATGATGATTTTTTTTTTTAAAGATGCATCTGATTGAAGTGAGAGAGAGACACGATTATTATTTTACTCTGGTTTAAATCTAGAATGTCTTTCCCTTAATGTGCTGCCACAAGTTTCCTATCAGAGGTTTAATCTTTTGCCATGTTGTCACATGCTCAGATTGCATTCACTGGAGAAGGCTGTTACAGGACAGTATCTCTTGTTGTACTCTAAGCTGCCTTTGGAGCCTTGTTCAGATTACAGGCATCCAAAGTTATGGCTAATAATATTATCCTGCTATACTGACTATTCCTTATTCTTGGCTACAGCAATTATTTCAATCTGTTACAAGTGGTTTGTGTGCCCTCCATTGCAATTTACCGGACCACTGAAGTGATCTCCGGGAAAAACTTGCTGGTATTGATACTATGCAGCAAATAGTTCTTACCAGTGTAGTGAAGAGGATGATGACTTGTGAAACTTCACTGTTTCACTGTGGCTTTCGTTACACATTAATCCTTATTCTACGCAGGGAATGTATAGCTCAACAAGAGAGAACTCAGAATGTGACCACCAGCTGAATTGCTGCAGTTGACTGCAAACAGCTGAGATACTGGCTACAGAGATGAAGTGGACAGTGCAGGGGGCTACACCATAGCAGCTATGCTAGGCAACATCCCCTGGCTCATGATTCAAATCCCTGACTTTACATGAATTTGTCAAATAAGTGAATACACAACTCTCATGCTTAATTTTCTTTAGTTTATGTAAAGAGTACCATATATGGTTTCAAAGGGGATTTCTCAGAATGAACTTCAGTTGTTTTTACATAGGGTATTGCAAGAATGTATTTCCTATAATGTAAAAAGAAATTATCTCAAAATATGTATGGTAACTTTGAGAAATTAGTTGCGAGCATCAGTTCTGTTGACTAAGCTGGGTATTCTTTCTTTAGTTATTTTTTGAAGAGCTGACTGACGGTTGCCAGCTATGAAGAAAATTAAGTCCATTTAAAAATAAGGTGTTTTGTTCCCAGTTTTCTCCTTTCTCTGCTGAATGTATATTGATATATTTGGTAAAATTAATGTGCTGCTAACAAGCTACAAGATTTTATCTAATCTTGGTTTAAAAAATACCTCTTATTTCTTCATTTTATATCAATGTAAGTATAGTTTAATTGTAAAAACTAATACGGTCTTCTGATATCTTACCTAAAGGGGGTTCTTTCCTGTGGTGGTTGGCTTTATTAGAAGAGTTCCAGTTCTTGGCTATCTCTTGAATTTACCCGGTATAAGCTCGGTAAGTGTTCAGTAATTCATGCAAAATTTGAAGCTTGTACTGTTTTTTATTCCATTGTTACGGCAATAGTAGAAATGCATCAGAAATAAATACAACTTCAGAGTAGCAACTTTGAGTATATTCCTGTATAGTTCTTGCACCATACAGATCACCTTCATTCCCAGTGAGAGACTTCTAGATGTAAAAGGAACAAAAGGATACCTTTGCAGAAGCTGCCCCTGCTCACACGTTGTGAAGTGGAAAGAGCCCTGGATTGTGACTCGGAATGCTGGGGTTTTGCTTCCTGCTTCACTGCTGGCCCTAGGTGACTAGATAGGTGAATCATGCCACTGTTCTGTGCCTCTTCTCCTGTCTGTATGATGAGGAGGACACTGTTCTTCTTTGTGTAGTAGTTGGATATATTTATGAAAAGTGGCCTGTAAAAGCAAACAGTTTAGTTCAATGTTAAGTTGCAGCTTGTATGCAGTTGCAGAAACTCTCATGATGCATAATTGTTCATCAAATATATTTATTAAGGTCCACTGCAGCAGACTACGTCTTGCTATTTACTAAGATTTGTATTTTTTCAAATGCAGTTTTCCATTTTCTTAACCAAATAGCCAGGGATTTGAAGACAATTAACAGGTGCCAGAAAGATGTTAATCTAGGGTGTTTCAGTCAACTACTTTTACTGTGCTAATTTCTGTACATATTTTAACACAAACATTTCTAACCCTAGTTTTGAAAGCAACAGTTTTAATAGCTACTACTAAAAAATTAATAGGGGGTATAACTTAGATGTATAGAGTCTGTTTTTTAAAAAATAGCATTCAAGATCATCTGTTCCAATCTTAGTTAGGCCAAGTTCTGGCTCATAATTCATGATCAATTGAAAGTTTGATTTGTCAATTGATCTTACTTAGTCATTTAATTTGATCATAATGGGGTTAAATCTTGTTTTAAAGAGATAATTGTTAATGTTTTATTCAAAGCCTACGTAGGCTCAGAAGAGAATCCACAGTAATGGTCAGTTGAAATATCTTACTTGGTCTACTAATGCATGTGTGGCTGATACTGTATTGTTTTGTTTTAATCATTAAGCTAGCAGTGTTATCTGCATTCTTCTATTTCCTTTTTCATTCTGTTGCATCTTCATGTTGCACTGTTAATGTCTATATGAGAAAAACATGTCATGCAGAAACACAGTTGCAAAGTAAGATTTTTAATTTTCACAAACTTAAATCATGAGACCTTGGTGAGTACTATTTGACTCTCATTTTCAGTCACATACTAACTGTACAAGTAGCAAGTAGTATTTGAGAGTAACTTCATTGTACATGAGTGTCACGCAGTTTAAAACCTTTTTCTCTCCTTTTCTACAGCTTGTAGATAAAGTTGGAGAAAGCAACAACATGGTATAATGACAAGAGGGCAGAAGACTGATTCTAAACTTATTGTATTATTTATAAAATCCTTTTGAAGAATACTCAGCACAAAGATTAAGTTGTGTACAAAGGAAAAGCTTGTTACATTCTTTACATAACAGTTTAATTTAAAGTGTATAGTCAACAATATACATTAGAAAAGAAGCTCAGCAAGTATGCTTCTAGGAAAGTAACTCCAGAGTTCAGGAAGTAAACTGAAGAGGTGAAAGTCATGGAATAACCCATGTTACAACTGTTCAAGACTACTTTTGTTGTTTTTGGAAAACATGCTAGAGGCAATGAACCCTCGTGGAATTAACAGAGCCTGTACTTTACCTCCTTATTTTGAAGGTGCAGTAGAGCAAACAGGCCTACATTTTTAAGGGTGACCCTAACTTATCCAACCCTCTGCTTGCTGTCCTCAGAGTGCAAAAAAAACCAAACAGAAAAATTCTTGTGTAACAAGAGATGCGTCTTTGCATGAAGGTTAAGATGACTATTCATCTTTAAGTGTATTATGACAAAAAAAAAGAAACCCCACACGGTTCTGTTGTAAACGTTTTTGTAAATATATGGCTGAAATAAAACATTGTTATCTTAATGTTTCAAAGCCAAATGTAAGTTGATTGTATTTGCCTTCTATTTTGGAATATGCAAAAGGTCAATCTTTAACTTCAGTCTTAAATGTTGGTTCTGAACATGTAGAGCTCAACAGGGAACTCTGGAAACTGACTTGCACTCCTTCCAGTTTGTTCTCCTTGAGTCATGTTACATGTGCATCTGGATGAGAATGTAGCCCCTTGTCACTAATGTGAAAACTTTGTGGAATATGCTTAGTTCACAGAAAAATGCATTTGGTTAAGGTGCTGACATGAACCCTGTGAAATGTATCTTATCAAAATTTGAACTTTTGTTTTTAAATGGTTTGAAGCTAAGATTTCTTTGTTTACTCTGGAACTACAAATTGACTTTTATTTTTTACAGTAATAAAATGAAAAGTTAAAATTCTGTGTACGTGAGTCTCTGGGAGAAAATTGAGCTAATGGGGCTAACTAAAGATCAGGTGCCAATCTCCATATGTTTTTTAACTTGTTGCTTGGGTTATCTTCAAATAACTTAAAACTTCTATCAGTCACAGCAACAACTTTGCTGTTACAGAGATTCTTAGCTAGCCTGGAATAAATCTCCCCTACTAATGCAAGGGTCACATTTCAGCTTCTGTTGGAATGTTAAAGATTGTGCACTTTCAATAGATTTAGTTACATTGTATCCTCACCTAACAAAATGTGACCAGTAAGTAAATTGTATTCGTGGAGGCTTTGGGGTTTCTGTTGTTTTTCACTTTCTTTTCCCTTAAAAGTAATCCTCAAAAAATTACGGAAATGCAGTGGTAGTATTTCAAGTACCTATGTAGTCTTAAAGGTCTAATGACTATTCAGTGTGGTGGTTTTTTTTCTTCATTATGCAGTTAAAATTGGTATTTTCCAAAATAACTTTTAAGTTAAGAAGAATCGTCATATACCAACCCTTTTGGAAGTTGCTATAAAGTTTGTTTGTATAAGATGTGTTTTATTTTCATTACAACTGTATAAATAGCCACAATCTACTATTCCCAGGGTTTAATTTGCTTCCTTCTCAAACTGATTCAATGAAATGATTCAATGAAAAAAATGCCATTATATTTGTAGTGAATAGCATCTGAAAAAATCTGGTTTTATTTTATAAATGACAAAAAATGGCTATATTTGCCTGATGGCATGTGTGTTATAGTTTACAGACAGAACTCAATATGACTTGTGGCTTCTACCTCAAGAGATGAACCAATTTTAACTGCTGCTGTAGATCTGTTGTGTGTTAAAATGACTAGAGAATAACACTACAGCAGTTGAGCAAACTCATCTTGTTTGCTTTGGTAGAGCACTAGTCTGTACTGTGGGAATCAATTACTGTTTAAAGCCGTGTGCTCACTCAACCCACGAGTTTTCTCACTTTTACTCTTCC